CCAAGGAGTCTTTAGAGCAACACGTAAAATAGCACATGAAGAGAAAGGCAGAGGAACAATTAAAGTGCTGTGTACTACTGGAGTTTATAAGGCTCTATTTGAAAAATGCTTACGCATGTTTAAATCCTTAAACATGATGGGAGAAATCTGCTGGCCACTAGACCCTATGGGAGTTGTTCTCATGATGTTAAGGCTCGTGGAAGGATAAAAAAAAAAAAGCAATATACAGTAAAAAGGATGACAGTTTGTACATGACAGATGTAGCTTTTTCATCATTACTACAGTGGTTAGCACTGTAGGAGGTATCATTACATACTGGAGGATTTTTATAACTTATTTCCCTGTCTCCATTGCATGAATAACTCTATTTACAGCTCCAGGAGATGGAGAGAGCTGGTAGCAGGGGTGGGAAGAGAGGACACACTTCAGGTTTGAGCAGCACACATTCAGCTCTGCCTTTTTGAGGTTTTGTGTGGGTCAGGTTTCATGTGGTTATTTTGGTGCTCTACGCAGGTATTGGGTACTGCAAATTTAGCCCATCTCCAGTGGCTGGCACTCAAAACTTAAGAATAACTTCTTTAGGGTAGTAAAGGAAAATATCAGAAGTGTTTGCTAGCAGACAGGCATAGTGTGTTTAACCAAGAACACAAATATATAGTATGTTCTGCCAAAGTTATTACTGATATCATCTGTACTTGTCTTACTCCAAGCTTTAATCCCTACAAAGCCTTGAACAGAGCATTTTCAAGATTTACAATTTCCTTCTTTTAAGGAGAATGCAAAGGGAAAAGAAAAAAAATCTGCTTACAGGAAACTGCTTTTTAAAGTCCTGCTGTAATGTTTTCATGTTTTAATTGATAAACCTTGCAGAAGCACAAAGTTAAAGCAAGAGATATACTCAGTTCCATGCTTCTGAAATAGTGGGAACTTTGGGGAGAAAAAGAATAAAAAGAGAAAGTTACTTTAAGCAAAACTCAGCATAATATTTCTGATTAGCCTTATCTGATAGGATCGACTTAGATTTTAACTACTAATCAGGAAAATAATCATGTTAATTTTCTTGAAACCATCTCATGATGTTTACTTTGGAAAGCATTGACTACAATGAAATTTCTATTTGTTTCATCAGTTTCTGGATCTACGTTTTTTTTTTTTTTTTTTCTTTCAAAATGATAAAGCTGCCAAATTAAACAGCAATGTGGTGAAGTAGAGTTCCAGTAAACAAGCAAAAACCAACTTCCACACGTACAAATTAAGAAGCTGAATGGGATTAATGATACCCCAAATAGCAAGGTACTCCTGCTTTCTTCAGTGCCACAAGCCGCCTTCAAACTCAAGACCAAAAAGGAGACTTGCAGAAAAATTGAAAGGGAACTCTAAGGTGTGACACTGATGTAAAGATCTTGAGGATTTCCTGTGCTAAGGCAAGGTTGTCAAAAGAACTATTCATTTCATTCAAAAGTCCTTTGTGTTTCCCAATACCTTAGTTATTAAATTCAGTTCTGAAGCAAAATATAATTCATGTTCTAACTCCATTCTTTGCTTCACATACCTCTGCAAGTGCTTCCAGCCTTTTCAACCAGGCTGGTCCCAGGGAGAGCTGACCACCAACTGGTCCCTCCCTGTGTCAGTAAGTCCTGTTTCTCTGCCAGTATGGGTGGAGCACCTGTATAAAACAATCTTCTCCCTGTGGGAGATTGTACCAGCCTTTGTGAGGGTTGCATGACTGACCCACTTTCTTCGGAAAGCACCTCATTACAAGTCCTGCAAGCAAATTTCATCACTCTCTTGGTCCTTGTCTACACAAGAAGCATTTCTCATCCTGCCCACGCTGGTCATCACTTTCTGGGCCCTGAGCACTTGCTGCTACTGAGCCTACTGACGCAGAGGCAGTTCTAAATACTTGGAAGAAACCTAGGGTTTGATTTTCAGCTTTTGCCATGTGTGAGATTAGGCACAAAGCCAGACATAGTTTTTTCAAGTAATGGCAAAGTATGCCAGATGCATTGTGGAACAGAAGACCAAATAATTTTCCAGATATTCATCAACGGTAGTGAAAGCACCACTGATTATGTTGCTGGTAAGCTCACAGTGGCAAAGCTAATTGATGAGAACTCAATGTGGGCCTATCAATATTCCAGCCAATACCATCAGGCACTATAGGGCATCGTGCCCATCCTGTGTTTGCTGATATGTTTACATAGTAATGCGCATCAGTGAACCCCTCCACTGTGAATTTAAGAAAATCAATAAGAAAGCCTTGTGTACAAATGCTGTGAGAGAAGAAGATGGGAATTAAAAATAGCAAGTTATAGAAACTTTTGCTTCCTTCAGAAGTTTTTCTGGTGATTATAGTTCACTTTGGATTGAACACCTCAATGTAATGGCTGTAAATATGTATGCTGTTAATTCAAGAAATTTTCAGGACTGAAAATGGAAAAATGTTCTCCCCATTTAAGTACAAGACTACTCATAAGTCCTGTTGGTTACCCAGTGTAATTGTTTCTCATTTTAATTGCATGAACTGCCTCAATTTTTCTATTTAAGCGTTCTTCAATCAGCTTATGTGTGAACTTGACTTTTTCTAAGTATCAATTTATTCCTGAGAAAAGGGAATCATTCTGTTAATGAAATGGACCAGAAAAGAATGAAGTAGACTAGGACATTCTGGGAATATAATTCAGAACTTGAGATATGTTTAGAGAGGCTTAGGCCTTATAAACAATGCCTGAAGTGCAGTATGTCAATGGATGCAAAGTCTGAGAATGTAAGCTCCTTAACATAAATCATAACATTTTTCATTCTAGAAAAGCTCTGTTTTTCCACTTTGAAGGCTTAATTGAAAGTTGGCAAGGTTTTAGATACAACTTCAGCTTCTGAAGAAGGGTAATGGAAAATACACATCAGAATATGCCCAAAGTTTTTCAAGTCCTTTCTTTTTTGCAACCGAGTTCCTTGCAACCAATAATCCTGTTGTCCACTAAATACACCTAGCCATCTTAGTCCTGTTCAGTATAATCTGTTTATCTCTTGATTCATTCATTACTAAAAGAATTAGCCTTGAAATAGTGTAGAAACACTCAAATTCTTGGTAGGTACAGAAAAACTTGCTGTTAATCTCACAGTCACTAGCAGGAACTAAGTCCAGAAGTAAAAAAATGCAAATTTCCAAAACAGTGGAGTCATATATTTCTTGCTTACAGCACGCATCTTTGCAGAGCAATGCAACAGAGCTGTTGCAGTAATCGCTGTAGCTTTTTTAATTTCTGTTGTCTTTGACTCATAAAGGAAGAAAAGTACTGAGCATGAGGGTTTGTTTGCTAGATTCTGCATAGTTATCAAACTGGTTTTCCTGTCTGTGTCATTCAAGTGAACTCTGTTTTTTAAACTATTGAGGCAATATTCATAATTCTGTGGAATAAGTAGATAGAGTCTCTTAAAAAAACAAACAAACAAACAAAAAAAAAAACCAAAAAAAACAAAAAAAACAACCAGATACAGATAACCTTCACAGAAGTTTGAACAGTTCTTCAGCTGATCATCACCATTTAAGATTTTAGATTTATACATAGAAATTGAAGATTATCTCTCAAACTCTATGCCCCAGCAGTATGTATTTTTAATGTGCAGTGAAATACCAAGATGATGCACTTAAAATACAACCAAAATTATAGGATGTGCACTTTGGTTAATGTTTAATACAATAATATAAGTAAAAGCCCATTACGAGAGAACAGTTTTAGCAGCAAACAGGAAGGCTTTTTTTTTTTTTTTAACAGAGAAACAGTAGTTATGGAATCTATCTAGAAGAAAGTATGTAGCTATGCTCTATAGTCTGTATGAACTTTGAATAGTTTGTAAAAATAATTTAAATATTGGTTTTGTTACTGGTTAGGAATCTTGTTGCCTTACTGGAAATAGCCAGTGATTTGTGAGTGATTTCTATAGTTTGGTGGTGCACATCAGGGAACATATATAGCCAGATTTAATCAGGGAAAATATATGCTAAAGGATACAGGCTAGGAAAGCAGATGCAAATTCACGGCATAGCATTTTTGCTTTTAGTACAATTAGAAAAGTTTTACTGTTTACATTATTTTAATTGTTATTTCAAATATCAATGTGGTTTCATCTCCTCCTGATGGTGAGTAAAGTGTATATATACATACAGAAAACTTAGGAGCAAAAAATGATATCATATAAGATAATGGTAAATGTGTTTCAAAAGATGGAAATCCTGCATTTTGTCAAAGAGTAAAATTTGGGTGCAAGATAGAAATGCAGACTGGCAATACTGTTAAACTGGCTTTTAGTTAAGCTAATTGATATCATTGTCTTTGCACTTGAGAAAATGTGTTTCTTCATTGATTTTTCAAAAAATGTTAAACATGAATCTGTTCTCTGACACTATGTGGGATTTTTAAAGATCCCTTCCAACTCTAAGAATTCTATGATTCTTATTTATTTATGTATTTGCTTGTTTGCTAGTTTGTAGTGGAAGACAAACAATAGGACACTAATTTTCATTATGGTCCAAAGACTTAAAGGAAAGAAAATGCTGAAGCAAGTATTCCCCTGCAATGCTGGGAAATACTTTCATGAAAAGAGTCAATAGACACAAAATGGAGGGACACAAGTTCTGTCAGGAAGCACTTATTCACTGTGTAGGTTTCTGAGCAATGGAACAGTTTTCTAAGATAGATTGTGGACCTTCCCTCCTCAGAGATATTCTAAAGCCACATGGACACGCTCATGGACAACCATGAGTTAGTGGCCCTACTTTAGCAAGGCAGTTGGACCACATGACCTCCAGAGGGCCCTTACAGCCTAAACCTTTCTGTGATTCCATGAACAACTATTACAAAGCAATCATTCCATAAAACCAAGATCACAGTTGACTATGTGAGAGGCATGTAAGAAACACTGTTATCTCACCTGCCAGTTATTACGTAGCTTATCTCAAAAATGTATATGGTCTCCTGGCTGGTACTTTAGCTTACCTGGTTAATGTACCCAGATTGGCTCATAATATGCCTTGTAATTCAGTAGGCACATAATGCATAAATTCTCTGAATTTTAGAGGCAAAATAACTCTCAATGCAACTAATAAATAAAAGTTGTTTATTTTTTTTATTATTATTATTTTTTGTTAACTATGCAACAAAAACGATCTTCCATCACATGAATTTGTGATACATTCCAATTTAAGAACTGCTGGCTCTGAATATTTACCTCCCATCCGTCAAATCATTTGGGAGGCTTCTGCCATCAAACCATGTTTGGATGTTTGGAGTGAGGGAGATTGCAAATCCAATCTTTTTAAATTCTGTGTGCTTTCTGTAATTAATGTGGGGGTAGTATTCAGCATCCCATTCCTAAATAATCTCAATACACTTCTGTTTTCTAATGTTTTCTAATGCTGCTATAAGCAATCAGTTGGAATTAAGCTGGTCTGCTTGTTTTTTTTGTTTTTTTTTTTGTTTTTTTTTTTTCTGAAATAAGGCCACTAAAGCATGTTTCAAAAGCCTTAATTCATGTTTTAGTTTCAAGTGCCCCCCAGTACACAATATACTGGCAGTGGCTTCCTTTAATTTGTAAATTCTCAAATGGAAGTTCTCACTAAAGAAAACTCACTAAGGAAAACTTTTATTCCACAACTCGTGATACAACTTAGAGACCTGTCTCCTGAGTTCTGCAGGCCGTGTTGCCCACGCTTGAAAAAAATTGAAAAAGAAGCTGTAGCATGAACTAAGAGACAAACTGATTAATGCTTCACAGGGCTCCCGTGAGCTGTGGGTCTAGATTGCCTTTTTCTGTCACTAACCAGTTTTGCCAGTGCTTCCATGACAGACTCTGTCTTCACTTTAAAAAATGCTAACAGGCTCCTTGTGGTTGGGATCAAATGACTGCCCTGTTCCCTTCACCTGTGAAATTTCAGAGACTACTTGAAAAGGGCCATTGTTTCACAGGAATGCCAGGCCTAGTCCAGGAAAGAAAGTCTTCATTTCAGCAGGAATTTGGAGTCTGCTTGAGAAGGCCTTGCAGTTTGTAGGTGAAAGCCATGGCACATTCATTAAACATCTGAGCATTTATAGTGACTGGGCCTCACCCTTTCTGGGTTCTTTTGCTTATTCCTGCTGAGTGGGTGGGAAGGAGAAGGAATGGTTCACCACTAAAACCATCGAGTTTGAACTATGATTAGCCCTCCAGACACAGATTTCTCTGTTCTTGTCTCTATCCTAAGCATTTGAAGCACTTGTATGCTTTCATGTGAAAGAACTTGTATGTTTAATAAGCATTTTTTAAAAGCACTTCTAGAATATATTTGTACCTCAATACAAGGAAAAGATACAGGGAATGTACTTGAAATCAGACAGATGATTCCTACTTCAACAAATAGGTGAAAACTGATAATACAAACTGTGAGAATATTCTCTTTAAACCATTTAAACACAAGCACACAGGTGAATTGTTTTTACAAAAATCTACTTGGGCTGGCCAACAGTTTTACTGAGAGTCCTACTAGCTAAATCTCTGGGATATTTTCTACAGAATGAGTTGAGAATGTTGCCAGGATGGATTGATGACTCTAACAAGCTGTATAGCTTTTCATAATCCATGTTAGGAGTACTTAGTCTAGTGTCATGAAACCTTTAATGCATTACACAGCAAGTACAGAACATGCAAATGTGAAACATAAAGTAAGGATGAATAATTTCAGTAAATTTGTAACCAGATTGGGTGAGGGGAAGAAGGGAGAAGTCTTCAAAGGGTTTTTCAACCTGTTTTTCAAAGGAAGGAGAAATCTGACCTGAATATGAACTGATGATAATAAGTACTGTGCTCAGTGAGCTGAAGCTCTGAAATTTTTATTTTTTGTATAAATATATTTATTTTATGTTTTGGTTTCAGACTTCATTTCATCTCAAAATGGTAACGCTTCATTGGCATTAAATTTTCAGGATATAATAAACTGACTGTTTTCTCAAAGTATAGACCAGAACGCAATGCTAAAGCTAATAAATAATGTATCTTGAAAAACTCAGGAATTTTTATGACATTTTAGATTATTTTTTCCCCTTTCTTTTTAAAGATGTTTCCAGTGATCTAGCTAAAAAAAAAAAAAAAAAAAAAAGTTGCAGCACTGTGTGTCCTTAGACCCTCGTATAGATGGCACACAAAAGGAAGCTTGTCCTTTTGGGACCTGGCTCTGAATCAATTACAGACGACAGAAAAATACTCTTTTGTGGCTGCTAAAGTTCAGGAATGAATTTTGGCAGGCTTAGCCAATTCCCTAATGCAGCATCCATGTTACCAACATCAAATTGGCAGCTTTTGCCTGTCCCACTGGGGATAGAGTAATGAATGGATTTAGTTAAGGTGTCCTGACTCATCTACATAGTGCCTGGAATATGTACCAAAGCTCTCCTGTATAACTTCCAAAAAGCTGTCATTCAGAGAAAAATGAAGTTTAGAAAGTTTGCTGGTTAGCACTAGCATAGCACACGACTGGGTTTCTATCTGTTCTGAGTGCCCTAGGAAAAGCTGCTGCTCATTTTCCTTTTAATTGCTAGATGCTAAAGCACTGTAAGAGAAGTACATCTGTCATAATCTATGATTTATTTTCTGTGTATTTTATGGGAGATAATTTATTTATGATCTTCCCACTTTCTTCTTTCATTGTCTCACCAAAATCATCTAATTAATAATTAATAATAATTTGAAGTGATTTTTTTCCTAGAATAAGATGCTGTCATTCTTGAGTTCCTGGGAAGTGTGTTTAGAAATTTCTAGAGGACAATATATTTATCTAGGAGAATCTTACCTCTACCCATATGGCAAAGATTGACAAGGGATTGAAAATCAAATGCATCAGAAAACACACGAAATCCAGACTGTACAGAAATGACCAACCCGTTATCTTTTTTTCCCACGTGTCTTTAGATACCTTCTCTCTCTCTCTCTCTCTTTTTTTAATGGCCTATTCTTAAAATTTCATAATACTTATTTTTACTTCAAATGCAAATAGATGGGAAAAATTCTTAAATCCACTTTTATTTCATTTTATCAGTCTTTGCTCATGTTCCTAAGATCCATACCAACTCTCAGTGGGAAAAAAAAGTGATTAAAAGGAGAGTGAGAATTAATCTCCCTATATATATTTTTCTGTTCAGCCTTACATTTGCCTTCACTGAACAAAAATAAAGAGAATAAAATGACCAAGGTAAAGATTTTCCTTTGATTTTCTTTGTTTATCTTGGTTGCTTCAGAAAATATTGGTAACATTCCTTAACTGTGAAGGCACATGTGATCAGGTGTAGTAAAACAATATATATATATATATTTCTATAATAACTTGATACATTAGAATGATCTATTCAACCCTTTCATTTAATATGAAATTGAACTCTAATTTTTTGAAGGGTTTGTGCCAAGCAAATTAATTCTCATCCTCATTCTACAGTAAGTCAGGTTATATTTCACTGCACAAAACTGCATTAGATTGGTGTCATATTAGTAGGGAACTGAGTCCATGCGCACATTATAAATGCATGTACATATGCATGAATAGTTTCTATAGCGTTTGTTTGTTCTTTCAGTACTTTCAAACAAATACATTTGTTGCTATGCATAAGTCCCTCAAGGAATTACACTAGAGAATAATTTAAAATATTTGCAGAACCTCCCAAGCAGCACATGTAGAAAATGTTAAATGTCCAAAATGATATAGAAATATCTCCCCGTTTCTAACGCCAACTATGATAAGCAATATGAAAAAAGCAGACAGAAAAAGGTCTCAATAACAGAATCCACATTGAAAAGTTAGGCACTTTGAACTTTCCCATCACCTTACCAGTGTTTCCCCACAGGCTGTCTAAAAGACAACTCAGCAATGTCTGAATGGAACTGCACACAATAGCTCCTTCACAAGTCGGTCTTTAATTGATTACGGCTGTGTTTATAGAAGCAGAAGAGAATTTACACAAAATGACAGATTGCCTTTAGTGTTAAAATAGTTTGGTAATGTTAATGGTAAAGGAGGTCCCTTTTACCTCCTCTTTAGCTGCATGAAGTCTTGAAGATGAGCTTTTTCATACCTCAGCCTTCAGTTGCTTTTTCTTTCCTTCCCCTCCCCACTTTTTATGTCTCCCAAAGCAGTGATATTCTTAACCTACTGAATTGCATGAGCTGTGCAAATTCACAGAGGATAACAACTAACCGGCTGTTTCAGTGTTAAAATACTCGAAATTGCAGATTCAATAATCACATATGATAAAGCAGAAGATAAACAATACAAACCTACAGGAATTCATCCTTTCTGCACCCCTGCCTCTGTCAATTTGCTCAGATAATCACAAAGGCAGTGTTTGAAAGTATTTTGAAAGTACAGTTGAAAGGTTAATCTAAATCAAATACTGGGAATAAATACTTTTTTTTTTTTTTTTTTTTTTTTTTTTTAATTTGCATTAAAATACTCCCACCTAACAAGTTAATGGAGCAGTGGGTGGATGTGGCTCAGAACCACAGGAGCCCCCTGGCTGCTGGCAGCGCGCCCCGGGAGGGTCCTGCTGGCCCCTCGCAGTCTGATGACTCACTCGCGGCCCAGGGACCAGCCCCCAGATCCGGCTGGCTGCGGCCGGATAGCCCCGCATTAACCCTGTCCTGCTTTCCTCTGAGGAATCTCTTACATTTCCCTGTTAATAGTGACCTCTATTGGTTACGTGCTTGAGTATCACAGACTTTTAAATATGAAGGATAGAAATGGTTATTGTCCCTTTGTAATACCAGGATACTGGTATAACAAAATAATACTGCCCTTTTGTTTTACCAGGCTTAGTCTTTTTCTTTTTGTGTCTTCTAGTTTTTCTGTGATTTGCATCACAGTGCAGATTTAGAGCAAATCCCCGACGTGTTAAATTATTCTGATTTTACAGAAATTGAGAAGAAAAGGTCTGGTTCTTCTTAATGGCATTTTTAGTACTACTTCTGGGTTTCCAGAAGGGGGTCAGGTATTTATGAAAGGA